TTTTTTTTTTTTTTACTTAATAAATGTCCTACATTTTAAATTGCAGAATTTGCACACTAGTGATTCAATGGTGTCGTTATGCTACAGAGCTTTACATAATTACATCTCAGAAAATAATTTAGAAGGTCTTCAAGGATTTCTTGAAAACCGCCGTGTTCTTGTAGACGATCGTGACGACGTAAGTCCAATTAAATGTGATAAATGATTTTCTTTATTTAATTTTGATTATATTTCCACCTTTTTTTAGAATGGAGCTACAGCTTTACATTATGCTGCAACAAAAGGGAAATTACAATTTCTTAGAGAGCTTATTAATCACGGATCAGATGTAAACATTGAAGATAATGTAAGTAATTTCTAGTATTATATTATCTTGAAATCAATTTAAAAAAATTAATAATTTGAAGCTTAGAAATATAAAAATGTTTTAATTTATGATTTTTTTTTTCTTTAAATATTAAAATATGTTACACTTAATGCCACAATATTTAAAACTTAATGTGAAAATTRAATTGACCAGGATAATTGGACAGCGTTGATTTGTGCTGCCAAAGAAGGTCATACTGATATATGTGCTGAATTATTAGATCATGGAGCTGATATTGAACACCGGGATATGGTATATATTTTATTTCCATGTTAATAATCTATTAATGTTTAATTTATAATTTATGTATATTAGGGTGGGTGGACGCCACTTATTTGGTCTAGTTACTGTGGACATACTAACTTGGCTAATTTGTTATTGGACCGAGGGGCTGACATAAATGCTCATGGAAATTTTCATATTACTGCATTAGTTTGGGCTGCAGGTAGAGGACATACAAAGTTGGCCTGTAGTTTAATAGCACGTGGTGCTAAAGTTAATGTTGGTGACAAGGTATATATAAAATTATTAAAAACATCATGTAAAAATAGTAATATTTTTTAATATTGCAGTATGGAACTTCTGCATTAGTWTGGGCATGTAGAAAAGGTGATGTAGAACTTGTTGATTCATTGTTAAGRGCTGGAGCTAATGTAGAYACTGCTGGAATGGTAAGTATAATTTAAATACATAAAAYTATCTAACTAGAATATTGTATTTATAAAAATGTATTTATTTAATTGTTGATTTGTTTTAGTACTCATGGACGCCATTATTAGTATCTTCGATGGGAAATCACACCGAAGTAGTAAATTTACTCCTTGAACGTAAGCCAAATGTAAATGCTTTAGACCAAGATGGATGTACTGCTTTAACAATTGCATGTAAAGAAGGATATTATGATATTGCTAATTCTCTTTTAAATGCTGGAGCTTATATCAATATACAAGTAAATCTATATTGTTACAATATATTTCATTTAATTTTAATTAAAACTGTCAATTTTAATTTTTTTTTAGGATCGTAGTTCAGATACTAACCTGATACATGCTGTTAAAGGAGGACATCGTAATATTGTGGAAGCACTCCTTAAAAAATATGCAGATGTCGATGTTATGGGAAAAGTATAAATAAAATAAAACTTCATTAATTTGAATTAAATATTACAAAAATATTTTTATTTCTTAAAATTGTTTAATTTAATTTATTTATGATTTATAAAAGTGGTAAAGTAATGAGACTGAAAGACTCATGTAACCTAAGCACAAGAAGTTGCACAGTTACAATTTCTAAGTTAAATTGATAGTTTTGAATAATGAAAGGTTAGAGCATAATATGGCCTAGTATAGTAATAAAACAATTTGATTAATTATTGGACTCTTTGAGTTTGTAGTTTTGATTGATACTTTCTTGGGTATATGATTTTGTTGATTATGTTGAAATGGAACTTAATTTTGTATCGGTAACATATCAGAGCATTCAAAATATTTTTAAGCATATAAATTGAATTCGTAGAACAATCTTGAAGTTGGAGACCTTAGCTTTGTATACATTTAAAATTAATTTGTGGTATTAATATTTAAATTATAATTAGAGTATTAGGAATTAATATTTTATTTTCATATCTACTCTTAATCAACCTATAGGATGTATATTTAAAAAAATATTTGTATATTCAGAAGGTTGCAGTTTATTTTGATATTTCAYCAAATATTTTATAGTGATTTCAAAATTTGATATCTTGACTATTTATAACTTTCAGATTTGCCTCTTAACCTCTTATAAATTAAAAACTAACACATAATATAAAGACTATCAGWTTATTTTTAAGCTCTTATTGTGTTTTATTAATTTATCCAAATAAAATACTAATATTAATTAGTTGTRTAAATTATAGGAACGGAAAACTGCATTGTATATTGCTATAGAAAAAGGAAATACAGCAATAATTAAGTTATTACTTGGAGCAAATCCTGATTTAGAAATTTCAACAAAAGTAAACAGTACACACATTTTATGTAAATTTATTTAATATGTATTTAATGTTGTTGTATTATTAAGGATGGTGATACACCTTTGATGCGAGCTGTTAGAAACCGTAATGCTGAAGCTGTTCAACTTTTAATTGAAAAGCGTGCTCGTGTATCAGCTACAGACAAACGTGGTGATACTGCATTACATATTGCTATGAGAGCTAGAGCTAGAGGAATTGTTGAAATTTTGTTACGTAATCCTAAGAACAGCCAGCTTTTATACAGACCAAATCGAGCTGGCGAAACACCATATAATATGGATGTCAATGCTCAAAAGCCTATTCTTAGTCAAATATTTGGTTCAAGACGTCTTAATACTAATGAAGATAATGAAAATTTACTGGGATACGATTTATACAGCAGTGCACTGGCTGATATGCTTAGTGAACCTACTTTATCAATGCCAATTACTGTTGGGTTATATGCTAAATGGGGTAGTGGAAAATCATTTCTACTTAATAAATTGAGAGGTAAGAGGATTGAAGAATAAAAAATAGTTTATTTATTAATATATATTAAAATAGTTTAATTAATTATAATGATTTAAATAATGCCAGCACAATATTCGTTTGTAACTTTTAATATTAATATTAGAGTGAATTTGCCTATAATCAAACTTTATGCTAAGTGTTAAGAACATAACCTGTGTCTCTACATCTAATGTTTTAAGATACTTTAATTTGTATGTAAAGTTATGAGCATTTAAATTATTACAAATTAAAAATGCTTATRAATTGTATAAAAATTAGAGTATCATAAAATAGCCAATATAGGAATGTGGATAATGTGTTTAGCTTAAAAGTTTAATAATAGGCAAATTCACTTCAATATTAAAAATAACAACACAGTGTTTGTTCTGCTAAACATAGACTTGCAATGTTACACGTTGGTCAGAGAGAAAAAACAAAATAGCGCTGAAATCCTCTTAAGAATAAAAATATAAACGCTTGTTACCTTTTTAGAGGAAATKAAAAATTTTGCTCATCAATGGACAGATCCATTTTTTCAATTCCCATGGCTAATATTGGGTGTGGCACTTCACTTTTGTTTCATTGCTGGTACTGTGGTTGTAGTCCTGTCATCGTCATCACTTATTGCAATTATCACCACATTTAGTTTATTAACTAGTATATTTTTCTTCTTGATAATGATATATTATGGCAGTCATAGGTTAGTAAAATTTTTCTTATGCAACACTTATTTATTATCTTTATTATTAATTGCTATAAATAACTACTTAATTGTATAGACTTGATTGGGCCTATAATTGTATCAGCTATTTAAGCCAAAAAGCAGTTACAGCCCGAATAATTCTGCAAATAATATTTTGTCATCCACCTGGTTCAAGTTGGGGGACATCAGTTACAGCACAACCTATTAGGTAYTTATGACTTTAACATAMATTTTTTATGGATRAAATWAAATAAAATWATATTTTTACTCAAATCGATTTAGATTTTATTTTACTGATCAAACTCGTGTCAGTAGTACAACACCTGGRGAAAGTACGATTATTCAAATGATAGGTTCATTATATGATTCAATAGAAAAAGATTTTGGATCAATTTCTACTCGCCTWTATAGAGCTTTTCGTCCAAAACCTGGTTAGTTAATTCATTAATTAATTTTAATGTTTTATAGATATTTATTATTAATAATTCATTTCAATTTTAGTAAAACTTACTTCACCTTGGAAATGGCGCAAATTATGTTGCATGCCAAACATAATACTATTTGAACTATCATTTATATGTGTTTTATTGGTAACACTTATTATTGCTATGAATAGTGGTACACTAACTTTTATAAAGTAAGTTTTTGTTTTAACATGAAATTATTTTTATTTTTTTTTAATTTAAAATKTTTTTGATTACCTAGTGATTTTTCAATTGACAAAGCTATTGGAAATGTTATAATATTTTGTTGTGGGATGTTCATTTTATTACTATTGATAGGAAATCTATACACATTCAGTCAATTACTACAATCATTAGTGTTCTCACAACGTAAACAATTGAGGAGAGCTACATCAAGATTAGATACATTAAAATCTGAAGGATTTATTCAAGCATTACGGACTGAAGTGAATTTAATGACAGAAATGGTATTTAATATGTTTAATATGTATTTAATATGTTTTGTTTATTTGTGAGATAGCTAACTAATAATAAATACTGATTGATTTTGTTTATTTGATTAAAAGGTGCGTTGTTTAGATGCATTTACTCAGCAGCAAACAAGATTGGTAATAATTATTGATGGTTTAGACACCTGTGAACAGGACAAAATATTACTACTTTTAGATGCTGTACGGATGTTATTTTCTGAACAAAACACTCCTTTTATAGTTGTTTTAGCTATTGACCCTCATGCTATTTCTCAGGTTTGAATATAATAATTGTATTAATATATTATATTGTATATGAATTTTAAAGAACATTTTATATTTCAAAATGATATATTTTGTTTTTTGTAGGTTATTGAACTCAATAGTCGACGGTTGTTAAATGACATGAATTTTTCTGGACACGATTATCTTAAAAATATGGTTCATTTGCCATTTTTTCTTCAAAATTCTGGTTTACGTAAAGTAAAATTAGCTCAAAAATCATCTCAATCTCATCGTAAAAGTGTAACAAATCAAATGGATGAATGTGGATTAGTACATTCGGTAAACAGATTTAAAATTAAAATAGTTTGWWWTATTAATTTTAATTTTAACTGTAGGCTTCAACAAGACGATTATCTAATGAGTCCACAACTTTAAAACCTATGGGTTCTTCTGGTGGACTTAGTCGAAGCAAAGGCAACATCAGTTCTACTAGAAATAAATTAAAATCAAGTGAAAGTATTGCAAGTAGCATAGCTAGCAACATACATAGATTAGGTGGTCCACAAGATCTTTCTAAAATTTTATTGACTGATGACTATTTTAGTGATGTAAATCCTAGAAGTATGAGACGTTTAATGAATATTGTTTATATTACAGGTATGTAGAAACCAGCAATTTATTATTAATTGAATAATTTCAATAATTTATAACATGTTTTAGGTCGTTTATTGAAAGCATTTCAATTGGAATTTAATTGGTATCATTTAGCTAGTTGGATAAATATTACAGAGCAATGGCCTTATAGAATATCTTGGATGATTATTTTTCATGATACTAATGAAGATACTATTGATGATTCTATGTCGCTAAAAACTTTATATGAAAAGTAACATTAAATGTTATATGTTTGAAAAAATAACCATTATTTTAACCAAAATTAAAATATACAGGGTACGTCGTCAAATACAATTTTCTAAAGACATTGATCCATTAATGGAGATGGACAAAGATGAGAAAAAATTCGAAATATTTCTTTCTTTTCACCGAACAACATTRTTGGTTAGCGATCTAAGAATTTTCTTACCATTTACAATCAATTTGGATCCATATTTGAGAAAAGTAATCAAAGATGACATGCAAAACTCTGAAGATTCCACTATTTTTAGACCAACAATAACACACAATGAACTACAAACGCGGAGAGTACAAAATCAACTTATGAGAAGACAGGTTGGTTCAATTTAAAATATTTCTATCAAKTAATAACCTATAATTTAGTTTAAGACAATGGGAGCTAAACTATCACTTCAACAAGAAACTTTACCACCGACATTGATGTTAAATGAACCACAATCAGCTGCATTATGGAACCAACAAGTTCAAAATCGATGGCATGCACCTTATAATGAATTACCAAACCATCTACAAAATTTTTCGATTTCATCATTATCTGTAACTAAAATTTACTGATGTACCTATAACTTAAATTATTTCATCCTAATTAAATGATTTAAATGTTTTAGGATGAATTTAACAACATTAAACTGTCATCCTTAAGTGTAGATGATACTTGTAAGTTATTAACAAGAATTAGAGATTTGCAAGAGTCAAACATTCCAAAATACACACAAATTATCAAAGATAACAATCTTACTGGTTGTGTACTCTTACATTGCAATTTAAATGAACTAAAAAATGTAAATAWACATCATTTTAATTTAATTTTGTACAAATGTATTAAATATTTAATTGCAGGTATTAAAAATGAACTTTGGAGATTGGGAACTTTTCCGTATAGTCTTATTAGCATTGCGAGACAAAGAGTACTTAATAAATAATGAAACTAACAGTAATATTAATTTAAAACACACAAGATCGGGTAGCACTAAAAACTATTCACATGAAAGAAGAGGTATAGAAATATTTAGTTTGTTAAAAATGTATAAAATTATAACCCTTCATACTTTTTTAAAGATAAATTTATTTTATTGTATGTTCATTTATTAAAATGTTTTAATATTAGGATCTTCTAATAATAGCAATAATGTACAAGGAACATTAAATGATAAAGATCARAAAGGGTCAAAAGTATCATCAGTTGAAAAACAAGTAAGAAAATAAATTTTATTTAACTAACTAAAGAACTATGAAGTTTTTTATTTTTATTTATCATTTACAATTATTTTATTAAAATATTTTTAATAAAGGTAACATTAGAAGAACAAATGATTTGCGGTGCATTACAAACTCTTAATGAAGAAGCGTGTGAAGATGTTCTAGAAGAATCTGAAGAACAAGGTACTATAGCAGCAGCTACCTATTTACAAGTACCACAACAGCCTATCGACATAATTACAGGTGAGCAGACGCAACAACAAGGTCAGAATGAAATCGACAATAGTAATTTTAAAACAGGAGAATGCAATCCTTATGTAGTTTTAGATATGAATAAAATGTCTGAGACAAATTAATATTATGTGTATATCAAGTGCATGGTGAAGAATCTTAAGCATGTAAATAAATTGATTTCATCATGATTTTCCAATTTTTATTTCATATTATTTTATTTATTAACGAGGCCTAGTTAATTAGTTTATTTTCTTATCTTGATTATCAGAATAATATAATATTATTTATGTATATTTTATTACAAAATGAAATAAATTATCAGTATAATATACTTATTTTTCAATAGTTATTTGCTTAAAATTTATGATTTGTACAATTTTGCAGTACAATATATAAATTTGACAGTGTGACTGGTAATATAAGCAATAGGTGATTGTTAGGATTAGATCCCCTTCATTGTAAACTTAAAAATAGTATACTGTAAAATTATCCTCTCACAACCAGTGGCGTGCCCAGGAAATTTCAATGGGGGGGGGAATATATGTTATAAATTTTTTAGTAAAAGTACATTTAAATTAATCATGGTTATCCAAACACAAAAATTGCTAAACATATGTACATTCATGCATATTGAATATCATTCTACAATTAGAATTAATTTAAATAGCCACACACTATACACTATTGTTTAAATAAAATGACAACATTAAACTAATAACATTTATAACCTTTATCAAAATAATTAATATACAAAAGAAAAATAATTCTTAAAAACAACTTAGTTATTCGTTATTCCAAATAAAAATTTATATTTTTACTTTTAGTCTAACGTGATAAGCATGATCCATCATTCTATATTCTATCTTACCATAAACATAATTAATTATTAATTATTACTTAGAGGATTTATTGCTCATGAACATGAATACATAATCACTGATCTATAATCAGTATAATCCGTAAGTGAATGTTTATAATAGCCAATGGAAAATAATTTATAAGCAATAACTTATTACTGATAATTTTAAAAGTAATATCCATATCTATATATAAATGTTTATATATGTCTATGGTAATATCTAATAAATTGAAGTTAACAAAAAAAAGCCAATGGGGGGGGGGATATAATCCCTAACCTTACCCCCTTGAGCACGCCACTGCTCACAACTGTAAGTTTAGACATCATCATAGAATATATGAAAATGTGAATTTAATTTTGGGACGTATTTTTTTTATTATTAAAACATTTAATTATGTTTATATCTAAATTTGAGTGAAGTTGACTGTTTGTTAGAAATGTAGAAAAAAAATTTAGTGAGATTAGGATTAAAGTTGAGCATGTAATATCAATATTATAATGGTTATGTTTACATTTTTATTTATAGCTTAAATTAATTATAAATTACCAATTTACTAGTGATTGAATAGAAGTATAAAAATATAGTATAATTTTTATATTTTTTGTAAATCTTTTTCATAATTTGGTTTCTCATTACCTGTAATTTTCTTACCTTCTTACCTGTAATTACAAAATATAGTCATATTACAAACATTCAATTTCTAATATTTACTGATAAAATCTCAAAGTATATGAAAATCTGATTAAGATTTGACATAAAATCYGTTTGCCATTTAGTTAATATTATTGTTATTATTTTAGGATGGTTTCTGATAGTAGACCATCTAGTTTTTACTTGGGTAGTTAAGATTTCAAAAGTAAAATATTATGGAAAACTGGTATTTTTATGTAAAATCAGCTTATGAGAAAATTGATTTTCTTATTTTCTTGTAATTAAAAATGAATAACCATGCATACAGTGAAACCTCTAAATACTGGACACTCTCGTGTCCGCTATTTGGAGGTGTCCGCTATTGAGAGGTGTCCGTTAAAGGAGGTTTCACTGTACTTGAATTTTTTTCTAAATGTCTGTATTTTTTTTTTTTAATACATAGTATAATTTAAAAAATATTTTGACTCATTTTGAGCTATATATAGATAATTGAAATTTATGTAACTTAAAGTATCATGTTCTATATTCAATGAAAATTAATTAAAATATTTAGACCAATTTTAACCTTATATGCAATATTTTCAAACTTAAACTAAAGTGGTGATAATAATAGATAATAGAAATCCCAGACCCTACCAATTTTTTGTCGAATACCATTTTTTTACCAAAATATCTTATATTATCATAAAATTATAAAATTATTTCATATTAAAAATTATTGGAAGTAAACATAAGTTTATCTTGACTTATGTTAGGTGTTAATACTGCAGCAAATCCTTGACATGAGTATTTCAGCCCCTTGGGGGCCGAGGACCACAGTTTAAGAGGACGCCTACCCATGTGTTGTCTCAGTCTTACAAGTGCGTAACCATAGCAAAAACTGTTTWGCGGGGGGAAAGAACCRAGAAAGCTACAGTTATAACTGACAAACGAATTTTCACCATATAAAAAGGAGAATTTTGTCTGTACAATATCGTTTATATTTTTTTGATATCACTAATACAAACAAGTTCTTATTGATTAATAATTCATTATTTTTGTATTTTTTAAGCATGAATAACTWTTTTTGCAGTTCTGATATCGAAAAAATGAAAACAATATTACACAGACAAAATTTTCCTTTTTATATGGTGAAAATTTCGTTTCTTAATTATAACTGTAGCTTTCTCARTTCTTTCCCGCATGAAACAGTTTTTGCTATGTTACCCACTTTTAAGATGGAGACAACACATGCAAATGTGTGGAGCCCTCTTCAGTACTGCTGATTTATACCATTGAATTCAAATTTAATACATTTATTACAGTGACATGCTTCATGACGAGATACTCTCAACTAATAAATTAATAACATAGCTAGCTATGCAACAGCTCGGTGGTTACCTACTTACTCTTTTATTTAAAGTATTATGTATACATTTTCAATATKAATGCCGGAAAAAAAGTCCCCGTTAATAAAATCATACGAAAAACATGATTGTACGTAATTATTAATTTTATTTGTAAAATAAACGCACTATATTTGACAACAATGTAKTAGTGTATTACATGGTATAGCCRGTATAGGTATTATGAGTAAGTTTCAAAAACGAGTAGATGATATATATTATATCAGTATATTACCTGGGTAATTTACGAAATAAACGTAATATAAATAATATTT